CCTTTTGAGAAGTCCAGCTGTCTTATTTGACAGCTGTTAAGTTAAACATAGCCTTAACCCCCCCCTTTCAATTAAGTGTACCCTTTTTGTTTCAGTTTGTGTGTCCCTTTTTGCCTAAACTGCATTGTTTAACATATGGTACAAAGAGGTCTGTATGTAGCATCAAAGTGTCTGTGGTGCGCATCTCCATATTGATTAAGTTTTCTTTGTATACTCCGCAGTCACTTGGCACTTGCTATAGCAAGTCTTCTGCATGGAAGGCCGTCTATGACGTCACGTAATCCCTTAGAGCTTAAATCGCTTTGAGATAAAATAAAACATCGACTCTAGGCAGATAGCTCCTTGCCTTGGGCAAAGTGGTTTTTGGTCTTCAGCGAGATCCTTGTGCTCTCCTTGTTCATCGAGGTGCAGAAATACATGATCAATGGCAAGTTTAATATATTTTACAAGACACGGACAGCATTTCTTCGCTCCGCACAGAAAATACTGAACTTTTTGTTCTGTTGTTTAATCTTTTTGTTGAGATCACGCTGCTCAAAACTTTCGAAGAACGATGTTGAGCGGTATATTCCAACTTCACATGCATAAGATTACATTTGTTTTGAGGAAATAGTGGATTCAGATTAGCCTGGTGTCCAGAGGCTGAACTTTTTCGATTGAGAGATCAAATCCTTGAAAGAAAAAGACTAATTTCACAATTCTTTAGTTTCACTGAGAATTTCCTTGTCTGAGCTTGCGTCGCTTGGTTCCTTTTATAGTTTACAGACCAGATCGGCGGAGTTATTTGGTATAAATATGACAACATTAGACGAAGACATAGGATCACAAAAAGCTTTTTACACTTTGTGTTTTATCAATAAAACAAACAATTGATAGTCGTAACCAAGCATTTCTTTATTACAACGTCCGTATCACAGTGGCGAATAAATTCACCAAATTCTTCTTAATCTTCATAAATACTATTACCAAAAGTTTGATATGAGGATGATTCTAGTGAACATTTTTTTGAGAATTGTCATTGCCATCGAGGATGAGAACGATAACACGGCGACATGGCTTGTGGACAGCGCCAAGGCATTGGGTAATATTGCGCATTTTACGGCTCTAAGCGCTCCTTGGTCGACATTAAACTTAAAATCTATCAAACTGGGATCACCAAGTTCATCACGTAGATGCTATATTGGCCTGCTTGTATCGCAAATCGCTGATCGCGGAAGCAGATCCATAGAGAGAATTCGGTAGTCCATGTTTTGAGTGATATACGGTCGGCCACGAGTGATATGGAGACATGGAAAATCTACGTGATTATAATGATCGCTCGACACTGCACAATTGCGTGACGATGGCGCGTCGACTTCATGACATCAAGATTGAAAGCGATGCTAACATAGTGGAGGGGAAGATAAGTGAAGCGTTTGACAAGCTAGTTGTGGGTGGGTCTCCAGACGATGAAATTCAGTCGACGGGTCGCGCCGGCTGGCGGTATTTCTCAGCAATTTGACGTAGACGATAATAATTCCATCGATTGCGGAAAAGGCGAGCATCATTACATTGATCAAAGTCAGTCTAAAAGCTGCTCACGAATCAAAGAAGCTACACAGATAGGATGCAACGGAGAAAGTTTTTCACGTCAATGGGAACGCTGAGATAATCAAAGGTGGACGTGGCGACGTTTGAAAAGGTTTCCTCCACGAAATAACGGCACATTACGAGACAAGTGTTACAGTTGCGACCATGATAATCACATGAAGTGGAACTGCCCGCCAGAAAGCAACTCAGCAATGATGATGCGGTTTGTGTAGTGGGCAAAGGACTATCTGCAGAATGGCTGGTCGACAGTAGCGTTAAATCTTAGATGGCCTCGCACAGCGAGGTCTTGCTTGAATCAAGATTATAAGGACAAGTATAAAAGTAGCAGTTGCAGACGGCAAAATGATACTTGTCAACGAAAACAGCTTCGTGAAATTGACTGGTTTGGGTGGAAAGGGGATTTCAATAGTCGACATTTTATATATCCCAGACTCGATTAGAGATTGCTATATATTAGCAAGTTTGTGAGACGGGGTATGAGTGTGGAGATTTCGCGCTCATTGTGTGTCATAAAAAAATCAAGCGATTGCATCAGGTAAATGATTCAAAAAAAGTTCGTGCTCGACTGTGAGCAGAAGGAAGCATGTTACATGGAGTATAATCGGGCTAACACTTAGTGAAATCTTTGGCATGCTTACAAAAGAAACTGTGCAAGGACACTTGATACAAGACACAGCACTCAACCAAAGCAATTTCGATGATCAGGCAAATAAACAGAAACACTGTGTGCCGAATGTCCGTATGGTAGCAAACAGTCACTAGATTTCTCTCACGTCCGATGGCAAAGACGACACATGTAAGGCAGCGGGTGCACACATATATCAAGGGTCCGATGTCAACTTCATGAACCGAAAGCGTCAAATATTTATGTCTCACGACAAGAATCATTGATAATGAATTTGTAGGAGCAGGCAGCACCGCAAGCGGATCCGTCCAGTATCTTGGTTTGGGCTAGCACCTTATCCTTGCCATTGATTATGATACATGCTTGGCCTCAAACGCCATGTCAGAGTGTAGCACCTGTTTTCTATCAAGATAACATGGAAACAAACGGCCGCAGGTTAAGACATTTGCCGACGAAGAAAAGTCAGATCAGCTGAACAAAAGCATTCACTGTAACGCGACTACACGTGCCCTGGTATGAAGGGTGTGGGTCATCACGATGGTGTGACCGCACAATGGTGTGTGTTACAGAAGCTGCTGTGACCGCATTATGGTGTAGCCACACTGAAAGAAGAAGTCAGTACGTGTCTGGACTGCTAGTAGTTATACATTTAATTTGGTTCTGCTATATAGATAGCACAGCCTATAGATTTGAATATAGGCGGCTTCGCCGCAAATAAAACTGAAATTCACAGTGTACGCTTTAAACAGAAGATTTAATTGGCCTTTGGTTAAGGTAAAAATTACTTTTGGAGTAAGCAAATTGCGATCGGCTACACTCATACTGGTGTTAAGGATAGGACGAAAGGTCACCGACCATAAGCAAGCTTCCTTTAGCGATGGTAGCCCCGCTGCATTCACCATGCCAAATCTGAAACAATTCGTGATCAGACAGACATCTTCAATCAACTTGACGATCGATACAAACGTGACATTAAATTCGGCATGTTTTCTTTTGCGAGTTCATACACATTGAGTGTTATCAAGCTTGCTTGCAAATGTGATTGCTGCTCGATTAACTTGCGGTAATACCCTTGGTCATTATATAACATGTCCGGCGTCGATATGTCCTTGAGAATAACTTGGCCGTCTTCAACCTTTAAAATGGTAACAATGGTAACAAATGTCGATGTGCTTTGTGCGCTTGTGAACCTTGGGGTTCTTTGCAAGCGCAATAGAGCCTTAATTGTCTTCAAAAATCTTGACTGCATCACTTGTTTCTAGTTCAATGAGTACGCAAAGAAACACCTTAAGCCAATTTGCGACATGCTTTCCTTTTGAAAGTGCCATGTACTCAGCTTTCGTAGATGATAAAGCAACCGTTCGCGGTTTCTTGCTTCTTTAACTTATTGTACCGCCATTCATCACGAAAGCGTAGCTTCTTGTGCTTTTTCTTGATTTCACATTCCCTGCCCAGTCAACATCTGAAAAACCTAGTAGTCCACACGTGTATATATCTTAAAACCTAATGCCAAAAGTCTTTGTGCCTTGAATATATTGAAAACTTCGCTTTAAAGCCTGTCAATGGGCTGGGCATGGGTCCGCCACGAACTGACTTAAAACTCCCACTGCTGCCGCCAAGTCTGATCGTGTGCCAATTATCAAGTACATGAATCAACCAACGGCGTTTTGATATGGTACGTTGACCATAGTATCGTCATGCTTGCAGCCATCTTCACACATAATTCTTGTAAGCTTGAAATCTGGATCTTGGGGGTGTGAGGACGGGTTTGCAGTGCTCTATCGTGAGCTTTTTCAAAACATCATTTGCAAACTTTGTCTGCCGCATCGAGACTATTCCTGATTTTGTATTTTGCTCAATTTCCATTTCGAGAAAGTATTTAAGCTGACGTATATCCGTCATCTCAAATCGGTCGCCAAGTGCATATTTTGTTTCTTCGAACATTTTGAGACTGCTGCTTGAAGAATCAAATCGTTAACGTAAAGTGCCACGAAAATCATATTCTCGTCTGAACGCTTCATGTAGACGCAATATTCTGATTCACACTTGTTGAACTCCAGAAGCTGCATCCAGTCATCAATTGTCTTGTTCCACATGCGTGGAGGTTGCTAAAATCCATACAGTGACTGCTTCAACTTGCAAACATGGTCGGGGTGACTTACACAAACGTATCCCCCTAGTTAAGGCTTGAAGATGTCTTCATCAAGCTCTCCGCTAAAAAACTGTCTTGACATCCATCTGATGAATTGTCAAGCAGTACTTTGCACGCAAGCTCAGCAAGATCCTAATTGACGTAAATTGGCCACAGGCGCGAATGTCTCTTCGTAGTGAATGCCGTATTTCTGCGCGAATCCTTTACCTATCCAGCGTGACTTGTATCGCTCGATATCACCATCTTGATTCGAAAATACCATTTGTTGCCGGTCGTTTTGCGCATATGTGGAAGCGGCACAAGCTCCCATGTCTTGTTCTTGTGTAGTGACTCCAAATCTTTACCACAGGCATGGTTCATTTGCTGGATTCCATAGCCGTCTTAAATCTGAACGGCATTTCTCCCACTGAATCCACGACAAAAGCAGCTTTAAACTCTTGCGCTGTGGCAGATAATTCATCAATCCCTTGATTCTTGTTGCACTGGATCGTTCGCTTTCCTTCCGGGGCTTCTGATGCCGATTATAGCGATTGTGTTTGCTGGAGAGGTTTGTTTTCGGACCTAATTTGGCCTTAAAACTTGTCGCGCTGGAAAATCTCGTTGCGTTCGGAAAGTCGATAGCACCCTCTGAAGACTGGGTACGCTCATTTCTTTTACTGTTGGTATCCTCAGTGTCTCCATGAACCATCGTATATTCCTCTTGGTCAACAGCATCTGGTAGAACATCTTTATCTGTTGTTGGCTCAACATCAATAGCAACTTGATCGTGAGAGTAATCTCGACCTACATTATCAAAAACATTTTCGAGAAATTTGGCGTCGCGACTGATACAGCGCGATTAGTCTCGAGATCTTCGAGCCCATAAGCCTCTTCATGTTCTGATTAGCCAACATACCGACATAGTTTTGCGCGGGCATCAAGTTTGCCCGCTCTTGTTTTGGAACCGTCACAAATGCATGACAACCAAATACTTTTAGGTTTGCCAATACCGGCTTCCTCCCAGTCCAGACTTGGTATGGTGAATCTTCAGACGAGTTAGTGCGCGTCGGGCATCGATTTCGCAGAAAGTTTGCAGTCATGACAGGTTCACCCCAGTAAGTATATGGCAATTTTGCAAGCTCAAGCATGCAACGAGCACACCCCACCACGGCGAAGGCAACAAGATCAGCAAAGGTGCTGGCAACTTCTGACTTGTTTCGAAGTAAACACACCATAATAAAATACAAGTAATCATAAATAAATGTGACAAAGTACTAAATGCCAAAGACTGCATTGGACCACACACGTCACTGTAAATGACTTCCAAGAGCCTGGCAGCACACTGGAGAGACGTTGACTGAGAGCCTGCACGAGTCTGTTTACCGAGCACACAGCCCTAGCATACCTCTCACTGCTTCACAGATGCAAGTCCAATACCAATCCCCGAAATGTTTTTTGACAATACCACCAAGACCTGAATAGCCAAAGTGTCCAAGTCGAAGGCGCCAGAGGTTCGACGTGGCGTCGCCATAGTATTCCGACAATCTTGTCGCATTGGCTTCTTACACATAGATTGGCTTCATACATAGCTCGAACAGGCCTTTTCCTTCGCGCATACCAAGTTTCCAGTGCAACCCCTTTGCCTCCGCAAAGCATCCATCAAGCTCGAAAGTGACCGGGCGAACGTCTTTAGTAAAGCGTCCGACGGAATAAAAATTGCGGCAAAGCTTCAAAATATGCCATACCATAGTCAGCACACCTTTTTCTGCCCTTACGGCGTTGTTATTGTCATTACAATGTTTCCTGTGCCCATCGCTTGAACGATGCCATCGTCCGCAAGGTGGACGTCAACCGGAGACTGGAACTTGTAATTATTCATGTACTCTTTGAGTACGTCATATGGTGTGCCGCGCCCGATTCGACCAGCCATATGCAGCCTGATTTATTAGCGCATTTATTTCCACTCACGAAAAAAAAGATAATCACCCGAGTAGTCCTCACTTTGAGCAACATTTGCACGCTGCGGTTGCTGAGGTTCTGTGTTGTCACGGATGCGTGCTGGACACTTCGCAAGACAATATCCATGCTCTCCACAATTGTGACAGGCACTGGAGGTTTTCGTATCGGAAGGACGTCCCAATGCCGTCCACCACCCGCCGTCTGCCATCTCGAATGCTTGGCCTTGACCTAGCGAGTACCACCCATGTAGAAGCCTTGATGTCACAAGCTCCCACGATAGCGAGTCCGATCTTGACTCCAAAGCTGTAATGGGGAGCGCAAGCGAGTCACTTAAACTTCCAAGAAGCCTGATAACCAGGTCATCCTCAGTGACCGGCGCGCCCACCGCATCTAGCTGCTCCGCCAAAGTCTTCAACTTGTTGATGTGCGTGAGCACAGCATCACCTCCATCCAACCTGGCCGTAAAGAAACGACGACGAAGAAGGAGCTTGTTTGAAAGGCTCTTCTTCTCATAGGGACCTTCAAGGCGCGGCCATGAATCGTACCTTCCACATGTCGACCGCACTAAAGGCAGTTGCAAGTCCTCAAGTGCCAATCAAATGATTGCAAGCACTTTCCTTGACTTGCGCTTGTACGACGACTGGTCTAGCGAAGTTGTCAGACTCTCCCTCTTGATCTCCCTACGTATGACATCCCACAGATCTCGCTCCTTTAGAACCATTTGCATATTAAACTTCCAAGTATGAAAATTCGTTTCGTCGAACTTGTTGATGCGAGGGGTAGTGGTGGTGGCAGCGTCCATGGCGAAGGCGATTTCGACGTCTGAGGCAGAGAAGGCGGAATTTGGACTCATAACCTGATGATATGGTAAGTGCGTATGTGTTGGCAAAGTGCAAAGTAAATATATTAAAGGTCTCTAGTTCAATATGCTACCTCTGAGCCTATTTAGACTGGATTCTTTACCGGATTTTTGTAGTTTTGATACGCTTATGGATATCCTCCTTTCTAGATACTTCACTGAATACTTGGCTAACCTACGAAACCACAACTTGCGCAATCAGCCTGTCCACACCGGTAATATTGATATCTTTTGGTTGGCGTTTGCTCGTCGAAACGCCTCCTTGGCACCACTATTCTGCACGACGAGACGTATCTTCAACAACATTGATAACCCTTCTTCGCTAATTCGCTTTTATCATCAACAAGTTCTGATGGTCCGTTGTTTTACAATTTGCCTGGTATGCAATGTAATTCCCTCTCACAAATCTCTGAAGTATCCACCCATGGCTCCAAGCTTTTTTTCACGCTGCTAATAAAGCGAGCACGACTTTCCTTGACGCCCTGGAGTTGCAGTGTTCATCTCACCCTTAGTGCCTCTTCTAATCGCTTGTACATGAACAAAAGACGTGTACACACTCATGTGAGCGAGATCCTGCTTGCCATTAACCGAATTTGATGCAATCGAAAAGAAAGTGTTCGCGCCTGCAGACAGGGACATGGTAGCAAGAAAAGCAGCGAGTCGGTTCATTTTCAGACGTTGCTTGTCGAAGATCAAATGAGAAATGAATGATCTACGGTAGTCCTTACTGATCTGCTCTTACATATAAAAAAAGGAATCGTTTCAGATCATGACTTTAAAATTGATCCTCATATTTAAAAGAGCTAGGCTGTAAAAACAGGAGCTATGAAGTAGACTGACAAAGAGTGTATGGAGACCTTGCTGACGAGAAGTATGCAAATACTTATGCACACTTTTTGAGACTTAATCTGTCGGATTTTGCGCTCTTGGTTGTCGGGCGTATGCGCTGATAATGATGTTTTTTTATCGACAATTCAGATTGAGTGGATTTCTGGCAACAGTTAATTTTCTGATAATGAAACGATGAATGTTGTTGATATTGTGGAAAACAAAGTTTTCTTTATCGATTTTAATTATCGAATTGACTTCGTATCAGAATCGTATGGAACGCATCTGAATGCTTGAAAAGAATCAAAATCTAGTGCTTTGACTTGTCATTCATTTGTATTGCATATTGAGTGGAATTTTAAGTATTACTATCTGTTGCGAATTAGATATTATCATTTATGTTAAAATGTGATGTCAGCATCAATATCGCACTTTACTTGAGCTAGAATTATGGTTTAGATCATGTTAGGGCAGACTCAATTTAGACTGTTTTAATTATCTATTTAGCCTGGACAAATCTCTTCCGTAATTGTTACTGAAGACATCATGGGATTAAAATGCTTCATTTATCTAGTTCTTGGCAGCTTTTTTAGTGATGAAACAACAGTAGCCCCGAGAAATATTTCATATCTTGCGATATGAAATATTGCTTCCTCAAAGATTTCAGTGATTCATGGTGAGATTACCACTTGACTTAATCAAAATGTTTCTTCGTTCTTTGTCACATGATCGTTCTTGCCCTTTAAGTTGAATCCACTAGAGCTTTTTTGCACCTTGTGGCTGGTCATAAAGCCTAAGAACTCAAAAGATAAATCTCAGAATAACATGTTAGATCAAACTCTGTGTTACTATTATTAAAGAGGTTCAAAGATTGTTACAGTGAGTGAAAATCAACAGTATCATCAATATCACATCATTTGCTTTAACCTCTGGTGTAGCATGCTTCTTATTCTAGTCGTATGCTTTTTAAAGTATCTTTTGCTCCTTGAAAACTAAGCTGCTCATTTTTGACGACGTTCAGATTGAGTAGGATCCCAATCTTGAGACTGACGCTTATTTCACAAGTTTCTCAAAACTCGTTTCGGAAAAGCAACCAAAGAGCTTTGCGTTTCTTATTCCTTTTCATCCAAGATTGAAGAAAGCAATTTAGTACGCTGCCTGCGTGAAGACTTTTTTGCTGCTTCCTTGTTCGCGCGCTTTCTCTTTAACAAGATGGTGTCGGTTGCCGCCTTGGATGTATATGGTGCAACTTGAGGTGCCTTTGATTTTGATTTGGACCTAAGTTTAGAGTGCTCGAGACTTTCTAGTCGCTCTCTTCTAGCAGCGTAAAT